AAAATAGCCTTGAAAGCGTTGTGCTTTGCCTTGATGCCTCTGTGAACTGCTTTTCCATTAGCTCACAGTAGCCTCAGGTATCTCGACTCAGCACAATAATAGGTATCAAGGTCCTTCTCAGACCATTTCATCCATTGTAACTTGCAAGGTTCCTGATCTGAGTCTTTCCCTAGCTTTCCTGGAGGGAGCCGGTATTGAACTTGGGAACTTTCCACGCAACGCATGAACTTCTTTGATAATCATGCACGGGACTCTTGAAGGCCTCCTTGGTTTTTCTAATGTCTTTCTGAAGTCTGTAAGGTGAACAGAGGTGTAATAGAAGTCAAACATGGAAGAAATCCAGGGGAAAGGGCATTTCAGACATGGTATTTGAGAACATAGGTAGTCCTAAGCCCTATTCAGGACTTACTTGTCTGATTCTTGGCAACACATTTACAGAGGAGTTCCTATTCCTTCCCTTCTCCCTCTTGGTATATTCTATCTGGAATGTAATCTGTCTGAAGAGGAAGGGTTCTGTCTACATTTATGCTGTACTGGTAAGCAGGAAACCTGAAAAATTTGGGGTCTTGTTTGCATGGAGAGTTTATTCATGAGTAGGAATTATAGATGGACACAAACCACAGTTCAGCCCACCGTGGTGCAGTGCCCACACAATTGCTGGTCCCATGTGCTGTCCTCTCCCGCCTCCTCTGCATTTGGCCATTCCCTGGGCGAAGCACGCTACCCTCTCCCGCCTCCTCAACGCGGCTTCTGCCTGTCTCTAGTAGGAATAATTCTTCTTCAGACCGATCATTCCTCACATATCAGGGAATTATAGATGGGCACAAACCACAGTTCAGCCCACCTTGGTGCAGAGCCCAGACAAGCGTTCTGCTGGTCCCGTGTGCTCTCCTCTCCCACCTCCTCTGCACTTGCCCATTCCCTGGGCGAAGCACGCTACCCTCTCCTGCCTCCTCAACGCGGCTTCTGCCTGTCTCTAGTAGGAATAATTCTTCTTCAGACAGATCATTCCTCACATATCATGGAGAAACCAAAGGAGAGGAGAGTGACCAGGCAATCCTCCATAGGAATGCTGCTGAGAACCAGGTAAATAATGACGGCGGCTATAATTTTGTACTGTTTTGGAAATTTTTTCTCCCAATGTTTGATGAGTATGGACTTCCTGTGATTACTCAATACCACTCTAAATTCTTTCAACAGTTGCTCATATCTGAGCCCTGTTCCAAATGAAGGAGAAATCAAAAGCAGTGCATACAAGAATGGGAAGCTGTGTTGTTGTTTAGTCATTTAGTCATGTCCAACTCTTTGTGCCCCCATCGACCAGAGCACACCAGGCCCTCCTGTCTTCCACTGTCTCCCGAGTTAAGTCAAATTCATGTTTGTAGCTTCAGTGAC